CGTTCCCCCCCCTGCCCTCCTTCGCCCCTTCCTTCTGCTGCTGCTGCGCCCGAGCGCGATGCAACGCCAGTGGCAGCATGGGTCCAGAGCATCTACTTGCTCTTCTCGAACGGCGGGGCGGGATGCCCAGCGTCGTCGCAGTCGTCGCCGTCGCTGCCCCCTCGCCGCGAGGAGCGACTGCGACCGGGGCCGCGTTGAATGCGTTCCCCCCTCTGTCGGGGCGTCTTCGCGAGTCGTCGCGGCTGGGCACGGGCGCGAGAACGGTCGGGGACCGAGAGCGAGGGCCTTCGGGCGGAAACCAGTGGCGTCTGGCCACAAGGTCAATATTTCTCTTCCGATGGGGCCTGCGCCGCGAGTTTGCAGCCCCCGCGACGACTGGGCATTGTAGTTGAGATGGGTCTCCGTCGCGCCCCGTCCGCGACATCGGCCCTGGCTGTTGCCGCCCGTCTTCTCGCGCGACATTGCCCCCGCGCTTGCGTTGGGGTCGTGGCCCGCGAGCTCTCTTCGCGCGCGGATGATCTCCGCGATGTAGCTGATTGCCAGCTTCGCCAGTGTTCTCAGAGACTGGGGGAGCGCCTCCCGTTGGCCGAGGCGGCCATTGCGCGGCGGCGAAGAGCTGCGGCCGCGGGGTGGCGAGCTGCCGCGACGCGGCCGCGCGTCTGCCTCTTTTTCCCAGGCGCGCCGCAGACCCCAACCCGGCTTCCCTCCGCGCCAGGTGCCCGCGCGGCGCTCGATGACCCCCCAGGGCACTGCCGTTCGGATCGAGGGAGGGCGGGAATGAGGGGGGGGGCGGGGGGGGACGGGGGCGGGGGGGGGAGGAGGGCCGGAGGAGGACCAGGTGGCGCGCGGGCCAAGGGTTGCGCGCCAGGGGCCGCGCGGGCGCACCGCGCACCGCGCGGCGCCTCCGCGAGGCGGCGCGCCGCCGTCGGGCTCGCCTTCCCGTTCTGCGAGGCCTCCAGGGAGGCGTCGGATTTGGGCCCGCGGCCCGGGTCGGGCCCGCCCCCCCCGACGCGCCGTCGCCGTCGCCCGCCGGGCCAGGATCTCGGAGGGGCTGGATGAGCAGATCCGTTTTTTGCCCGGCGTCAGCGGCGACGAGACGCAGCGCCATTCGAAGATTCGCTGGGGGGGGCGGTCAGGGAGACAGAGCGGGTCTGGAGAGTTTCAGCGCGGCCATCGTTGGGCGGCGCCAGCGCGAAGCGCAGCGCGCGCCGCGCGGTCGGGCGGGCGAGCAGCTGGGCGCGCTCGACGGCGGAGGTTCAGCACCCCACGTGCTACCCTGCATTTTGCCTGGGGCGAGATCTCGGCCAGGCTGCGCAGGTCGGTGGGCGTGCAACCTTGACTGCAGCCCTTCGCGCAGAGGTTGCCCCTTGGCCGGGGGGCGCCGCCAGCCGCGCCCCCCCCCCCCCCACCCGCGGATGCGAGCAGCGAGCGCGGGCAGCTCCGCCGAGCAGGGCGCGGCCGAGGGCAGCGCGTATTCACCCGACGTCGAGGCGGTTCCTTTCGCCGCGGTGTTACCTGAGACAGGGGTTTTGCGTCGCATGCCTGATGGTCGGCCTCGGGCGGGTCGGCCACGGGCGAGGCGCGCGCCGGCGTCGATTTCCCGCTCGCGCACCTTTCCTCGAAGTTAGACAGGGCGTCTGACTCCCTGGCTCTCGCCGTCGGCGAGGGTTTAGGCCGCCCCCGCGTGCGCCCTGCAATCAAGTTCGAAAGCCGAGGCTCCCAGGGGCCGGCGGCGCCTGATGGGCGCGGGGCGCGCGCTCTCTGGGGCGCTCGACGTGGGCCGCGGGGGCGACGCAGGCGCCGCGGCGACGGCGGCAGTGCCCGAGCGGCTGCAAGATTTTCGCGCCGAAAATTGGCGGGCCCTGCTGCGCGACGCTGCGATCGCCTCTCGCGACGGGGGGCGGCCGGACACGAAAACACCGCGCAGCGCCTCGCGCGCGCGCAACTTGCGGATAAAACGCGAGCTCGGTCGGGCCGCGGGGGGGGGCGGTGGCGATGCGCGCCCCCGCCGAAGCTGCAGATGTTTCGCGCGGCAGTGCCCGTGAACGCCCGATGCAAATGCTTTCGTGCAGGGCGGGCCTGCTACAGCTGAGGCTGACTGCGAACCACTTGCGTCAAGATTTCGGGGAACCTTGCGAGGCCATCGGCCCAGGGTGCCCCGCTGGGCGGGGGCCGGCTTGCAGGGTGGCCAGTTCGAACGCCAGCAGCCGCTCGCTCGCGCGGCCGGGCGAGAAGCGGCCACGGCGCGCGCGTTAGCCGCGCTCGCTGGGGGGGGGCGCGCCTCGGGAAGTGCAGGCGTTGGCCAGGCACGACTGGTCAGCCGCGCAGTTGGCGCACCTGGCGCGCCCAGTGCGCCTGCGCCTCTGGGGCGCCCGGTGCGCGTGGAATCGGCGGGCCAGTCGTCTAGCGTAGACGCGCTGCGGGGCGCCCAGGCGCGCAGCTGCTGGCTCGGCAGCGGCCGCGACCCGCGCGGCCCGCGGAGGCGGGGCGCAGCCAAGTTGGTTCAGCTGTTGCATGGGGTTAGAGCAGGGCTGCCCGCTCAGCCTGACCCTTTCTGCCATGCTCGGCGACAACGATTTCGTCATCAGTTTTCGGCGCCGCCTCCTGGTCGCAGACCCAGCGGCCAGCGGCGGGGCGCCCGTGCGCGCGCCGAGCTACGAACACGGGGGCGATCTGCGGATTCGTGCCCGAGAAGCGTTGTGGCGTCCAAGCCGCGTGCTGCTGCGCAGGCCCCGTCTTCGCGCACCGCCAGAACTTGTGTCGGGGCGCCCTCGCAGGCGCGTGGCAGGCAGGAGTGGTTGGTTCGCGCGCAGCAAGCAGTATGAGGGCGCCCGCCGTCGATGTCAACGACCAATGCAACATTGTAGCGTGGCGCCCGCGCGCGTGCTCCAGAAGTAGAAACAATTTGCATTATGGTTTGTTTCTATTGGGGTAGGTGGGGGGGCGTTGGCACGGGTTCGGGATGGTTGCCAGTCGCGCGGGGGGAGCATGTTCAAAAACAGGAAACAGCGAAGAAGCTCCCAGCGGGAACGCGGCAAACCGTTTCGCTCATTTCCACCCGCCACCCGTCTTCTTACGCTATCAGCATGGGTAACGGCCGTAACCGACAGCCAGTGGGAACGAAGACAAAGGCCAGCCAGGTGCGCGACGCCCCCCATCAGAAACCACTGCACAGTGATCGCGGGGAGTCCGCGCATGATCCAGATTTGGCCCAACGACTTCAGTCTTTTCGTTGCAAGAGATGGTGGGGGGACCGGCATCGCACACGGCAGACGTTATGCCGTCACGCCCGCCGTGCGGGGCGCCCCCGCATGATCCGAATGTTGGTGCCACGTATATTTAGCACCAATTCGTAAAGCACGAACAAATAACGCCAGCGCAAACAATCAGCACCAAGACAACCATCACGGTGACGACGGCAGATGTGACGTAGACAGTGTGCCGGCGGATCCTACACCAGTTCGCCACGACGACGAGAATTCAACAGACGGTTTTGAACCTTGGGTACAATGAATCCAGCGAGCAACACGCAGGGCATAGGTGACCATGGCACAGTTGCACATCAATGGCTCGACAACTACAACACGTCAGCGAAAATGGCAATGCTTACGGCAAATCAGCAACACTGATGAGCAATAGTGGATGCGGCAAACACTTCAATGGGATCCACAGTTAAATTCCTTTGATACCGCCAGACGCAGAGCGGGCAGGCCGAATTCCCCATGGATTGTCGACATCCGACGTTCTGTTTTTTACAGAAGCGGGTATGATGGCATGGCTATTGCAGAGATAGTAGCCGTTGCGTCGGCGGGCTGTTGGGACAATATTGGAACCGGGCAGCCGCAGATAAGACATGACCAAGCACCACAGACGAATCTCGTTACAACGCACCACAAACAAGGCCATGAGCGAGCCGCTTGACCTGTCTAGACTTCCGCCGCCCAGGTGCCGCACCCGCAGCGCCCTACACGGTGCACGTGTGCGGGAGTGTTCAGTGCTCAGTGTGTTTCGCATGGCGTTTTGCAAAACATGGGCTGGCATTGCGCACTGCAGGCAACGTGCTGGCACCCCGACTGTACGTGTCAGAAACCATGCAAAATGATACCAGGGGGTGCGCGTAAAAAAAACATAGGTTGGTACAAGATGCACATATTTAGCTTATGTGTCAAGGGATGTTTGGGGGGTATCATTTTCCTGGGTTCATCGATGGTCGGGTTGGGGAAGGGGATGTGTATAAATGAGTAGCTGTAGCGAACCCCTCCCCACATGGGAAGACGGGAAGATGGAAAAGGAAACGCTCCAAACCACGTGCGCCCAAAGGGCGCGTGCAATTGGTTATCGACTTAAGACCCAGAGGGGGTCACGTAAGGCTTGGGCATTCCAGGCAGGCTAGAGATGGACGGCGAAAATTCCTCTAGCTACTTATGGTTACGTTTTATCGTACGATGTTGCTGTAAGTCTGACGATGCTGATCCTCCCTCCGCCACTCCCACCCTCCCTCCCTTCGCACGTGTGCGGCTTCACTGCCCGCTCTGCCGCCGCTGTGATCGCCCAAGTGCGCCGCCACACCTGCGGCGGCCGAGGCTTTCGGCGACGACTCCGACGTCCCGACGACGCCGACGGCCACGACGACGACGGCCACGACGACGCCGACGAGGTCGACGCCGACGATGTCGACGCCGACGCCCCGACCACGCCGACGAGGACGGTGACGACGAGGACGAGGGCGAGGGCGAGGGCGAGGACTCGATCCTGCCATCCCGTGCTCTGCGGCCGGATCGCGGCAGTTGGGACGCATCCAGCCTTCCCTTCGATCCGACGTCGCGAAACAAGTGCAACATCGTGGGAGGTCACGACCGCAGCCTCATTCCCCAACCTTCTCTGCAGCGTTTCTTTGGCCAGCTCGATCTGCGAAGGCCCCTTGCCCCGAGGCTGGGCGAAACATTCCCGCGGCGAACACTCAATCGTGGCGCCCGGATCTTAGGGCCCGTCCGTCGCAGGCGACGCCTTCCCCGCCGCCCGGGGCCCGGCGGCGGCGGCGCACTCGGTCTCCGACAGCGAGGCAGCGTCGGACCCCTCTTCGGGGAGGTGGGGTGGAGGCGGCGGTTGGGGCGGGGGTCGGCTGGTCGGCGGATCGGTCATGGATGTGGGGAGGGCGGGCAGGGCTGTTTACGGTCCGATCCGATCCGATCCCCAGGCCTCGACTTCGGTGTCGATCCAGTCCGAGCAGAAACGGTTCCCTCTCGAGCTTGGTCGTCATTTTGTATGTCTTTTTTTCCCTCTCCCTTCCCTCTATAATACCACGTCTTGGCTGCTTTGGGCGGCTGCTTTTGGCGTCTGGTTAGGACCCCCCCCTTCTGCTGTGGCGACTGGTAAAAGCAGATCGCATACGCACCAGTCACCCAGACCCTCCCCGTTCCCCCCTCCCTTCGGCTCAATGTCGAAACCCCAAATTTCAGGCGAGATGATTCGACCGCTGAAGTGAATTTCAGTGTTGTCCTGTTGTCCTGGAACAGAAAGGCGGCAACCATCGTTGATCCAATCCGCGCGGCTGGGAAGGGCGGTTGCCCTGGCGCCTGCAGAGGAATGCATTTCCAAGACCCCCTCTCTTCGGGAGACCCAGCCACCCCCGGCTTGCACACCCCGGGCAAACGTGCGGCCCGCGAGACAGGACCCCACCAAAGCCTCCTCCGGCCAAGTCCCCCCAATCAGTAGCCATGTATTTTGACGACAGTGCCGACGAATGTCTAGTGACCATTTGAGTCGGGGTCGTCATTCGAGTTTTCCAGTACATTCGTGTGTTCCGGCGACCACCGATCGGCGGGTTCGTTTTGTCGACGTTTGAGGTTCGGACAGGGCCGTTCCCCGGGCGGCGGTTGGCGCGGGGCAAAGGGGATGGGCTCTCGGCGCCAGGACAACCACGCGTGAAACTGTCAACCCAGGATGCTCCAGGATTTTCGGCAGCGTTTGTGCCTGCCCACATCTCTCCTTCTGCTCAACCGCGCTAGCTGCCCCGAACAAGGGCACGGGGAAAATACTTGCAACAGTAACTTTGGTCACTTTCCGTCGCGCGAAGGTTACAAACACACATGTTTCATTTTTCACATATATATATGTACAGTTAACAAACGCTGACCTGCTGGGACCGAGCCCTATCCGCGATCCCAAAAGGTCACCCCGATCCGACTCCGCGTCGGTTCAGGTTCGGTCCGATCCGTTTCCGCTCCGATCCAGCTTCGCGATTCGATCTCTTTCAGGCCTGGCTGAGAATCTCCATGAAAAGAAGGAGTCCCCAATGGCGTCCGCGGATCGGTCGGTTCGGCCGCGTGGCGGTTTGTTGCGCTCGGTCGGTTCGATTCGGTCGGTTCTGGTGTCCTCGCTGCATCGTTGCGACCATTCAGACTTGGTTCGGTCATTTCCGTTTTCTCTGTCGGTTCGATCGCTGCTACCCCTTTGACTTGATCCTTTTCCTTCTTAGGCAAGCTGCAGGCGCACACGCGCTAAACGTAAGTCCCTCTCCTCCAGTCCCACTGATTGTGTCTGCGCAAGCACGCCGCAGGCCGCTCTCTCTGCATGCGAGTCTTTGTGTCGGGTGGCGTCGTGTGGTCCCAGTGTCGGACGCTGTTTTGTGTGCGTTCACCTTCTTCGACAGGACGATCTCGTTCAAGCCGTCGATGGCGAGCGGCGTCCCGAAGGCGGGAAACAGCGCGGGATTGTCCAGCATCTGCGCGCGTCGAATCCGATTGGCGGAGGCCGGAGAGTGGGCTGGGCTCTCCAGAGAATCGCCCACAGCGGTTGGAGGAGCGCCGCGACGAGCGCGCTGGCCGCTTCGGCAAGCCTCGGACGCGAAGGCCGTGGAAAAATTGGTGGGTGAGCACCTAATCTGAAAGGCCACGGTCCGCGCGAGCGGTCCCGCCACGCTGGGCGCGGGCGTGCAGGAGGGGCTCCAATTAGGCGCAACCATGATCCTGTCAGACCAGACTACCCTGAACGACTTAATCGCCGCCGTGACAAACGAGCTTGGCCAAAAGCCCGCGGCGTTCGGGATCAGAACCAAACATGGGCATATTCGAACCCTGTTGGGCCCTCCTCGCAGTCAGCGCGGCGCCAGACGCAGTGGCCAAAGTTGTGCTTCTAGTCTTGCACGGAGGCCAGAGCGCAGAAACAGCCCACCCAGGCCGACCCCGGAGCGCGTTTGGCGGTCTGCGACCGATCGCGTGCGGGGGGAAGCTGAGACGGTCGGCAGCCATGGCAGATCTTGAGGTATACGATGAGGAGATACCCAAATCATGTGGACCGCACCGAAGCGCCGTTGCGAAGTAATGCACGCGTGCATCTCTGCCTTACCGACGCGCGCCCGGACGGCGTGGTCTCAACTTTCGATTGCGCGAGCATTCGCAGCAGCCTCCCACGGGCCAGGGTCTTCCAAGGATTCCCAGACACGGGCGCCCAGCTTCTGTTTTCACCGCGCACGATAGGCTGGGGGCAGCCACGACGCACCTTTTCTGGGACGACACCAGCGTAGCCATGAAAGTCACGGCCACCACGGGCGTAGACCAAGAATGCCCGCTCTCACCGGCGTTTTTTGCGATCGCAGTGGCCGACTGAATGGCCGAAATCAGCCGGGGGTTCCAACAATTCTCTTCCGCGTGGGATTCTCCTACCTGGGCGATGTCGTGGTGTTCGTGCCTCCGGAGCACGGAGCACGGAGCACGCAGCGGAAGCGAAGCAATTTGTTCTGGGCGTTTTCACCAACCACGGCCGGGCGGTCAACGAAAAAACCAGGCGTGGCCAGCGGGCCGAAAAAGTGACTTCCCAGAAGCTCTCCAGGCGCCCAGGGTCGAGCACCTGAAGCGCCAGGGCAGCGCTGCGCCGTGGTTCGACCAGCAAAAGGACCGGGCTCTGGAATGCGTAGGAGCATGCGGCGCGGCGGCGGCGCAGCGTGCGCAGGCCTTGGGCCCGCTGGCTCCAGGACCTCCGAAGGGCCGCTTTGTTTGCCGCGTCCGCTTCGCCTTGTTCAGGACCAACGCGCAAGGGGGCGGCAGCCGCCACCTGCGCGCGAACTTTCAGGGTCACCGAGTGGAGCAGCTCGACGCGGTGGCGTTTTCGGCGCTGGAGCACTTACTCCGAGGGGGCCAGCTGGACGAGCTTCAGAGGCTGCAGGCCACGATGTGCCTGGTGGACAGAGGTTATGCCCATCCCGTCCGCCGCCCAGACGGCGCTGACAGTGCGCGCCGCTAGTTGGGCGCTTTGCCTCCGCGGCGCGGCGCGATGTACGCGCGGAAGTTCCAGGTCCTCGTCCAGGGCGAACAGGCGTTAAAAGCCTCGGGGCCGCAGCTGGGCAGTCCATCGAGTGGGCTCGAAGTTTCCAAGAGCCTCTCGCCAAGCTCCAGGGCGCGTGGAACACGGCAGCATCTGGAAACAAAAGCCGATGATCCCGGCGAAGCAACCTAACAGCGACGTGTATAAGCATATCTGGAAACATTCCCCGTAAGATGCAGGTGAGAATCCACTTGTAGAGTTCTGTTGTTCTCGCAGTCGCAGTCGCATTCGCAATGACAGTCGCAGTGGCAACTGCCTCAGGATTCAATGGGATCCTAAGAATTTCTAAGGATTCCTAAGGCATCCGTAGGAATCCTTAGGAACCCTTAGCCTCAGCCTGCATCAGCCTCAGCCTCAGCCTCAGCCTGCCTCAGCCTCAGTCTCAGCCTGCCTCAGCCTCAGCCTGCCTCAGCCTCATGAGCCTGCCTCGGCCTCAGCCTCAGCCTGCCTCAGCCTCAGCCTGCCTCAGCCTCGGCCTCAGCCTGTCATAGCCTCCGCCTGCCTCGGCATCAGCCTCAGCCTCAGCCTCAGCCTGCCTCGGCTTGCCTCGGCCTCAGCCTCAGCCTGCCTCGGTTTGCCTCGGCCTCAGCCTCAGCCTGCCTCTGCTTCAGCCTCAGCTTCAGCCTGCCCCAGCCTCAGTCTCAGCCTGCCTCGGCCTCAGCCTGCATCAGCCTCAGCCTCAGTCTGCCTCAGCCGCAGCTTGCCTCAGCCTCAGCCTCAGCCTCGGCCTCAGCCTGCATCAGCCTCAGCCTCAGCCTGTTTCGGCGTGCCTCAGCTTCAGCCTCAGCCTGCCTCGGCCTCAGCCTCAGCCTCAGCCTGCCTCAGCCTCAGCGTCAGCATCTCAGCCTCAGCCTGCATCAGCCTCAGCCTCAGCATCAGCCTGCCTCGGCCTCAGCCTCAGCCTGCCTCGGCCTCAGCCTGCATCCGCCTCAGCCTCAGCCTGCCTCAGCCGCAGCTTGCCTCAGCCTCAGCCACAGCCTCAGCTTCAGCCTTGGCCTCAGCCTGCCTCGGCTTCAGCCTCAGCCTCAGCCTCAGCCTGCCTCGGCCTCAGCTTCAGCCTGCCTCAGCATCAGCGTCAGCCTCTCAGCCTCAGCCGGCATCAGCCTCAGTCTCGGCCTCAGCCTGCATCAGCCTCAGGTTCAGCCTCAGCCTGCCTCAGCCTCCTGAGCCGGCCTCGGCCTCAGCCTCAGCCTGCCTCAGCCTCAGCCTGCCTCAGCCTCGGCCTTAGCCTGTCTCAGCCTCAGCCTGCCTCAGCCTCAGCCTTAGCCTCAGCTGGCCTCGGCTTGCCTCGGCCTCAGCCTCAGCCTGCCTCGGCCTCAGCCTGCCTCAGCCTCAGCCTGCCCCAGCCTCAGTCTCAGCCTGCCTCAGCATCAGCCTCCGCCTCAGCCTGCCTCGGCTTGCCTCGGCCTCAGCCTCCGCCTGCCTCGGCCTTAGCCTCAGCCTCTGCCTCCCTCAGCCTCAGCATCCGCCTCAGCCTCAGCCTTAGCCTTAGCCTCAGCCTGCCTCAGCCTCAGCCTGCCTCTGCCACTGCCTCAGCCTCAGCCTCAACCTGCCTCAGCTTCAGCCTCAGCTTCAGCCTGCCTCGGCGTGCCTCAGCCTCAGCCTGGGCCTGCCTCGGCCTCAGCCTCAGCCTACCTCAGCCTCAGCCTCAGCCTGTTTCGGCTTGCCTCGGCCTCAGCCTCAGCCGGCATCAGCCTCAGCCTCAGCCTCAGCCTGCCTCAGCCTCAGCCTCAGCCTGCC